CGGCTGAAGTATCTCACAAAAAGCGCATAGGCTGGTCGAATAGGCAAGCGGTCATCTGCCTGCTCTGCTGGTTGGCCAGTCAGCCGGCCGCTCGGCCCGCGTGCCATTCGCGTAAGAGCAAAACGTATAATTTGGCCTTTGGCGTTGGATGCTTCGCCGGCAAACTGGCTGACGGATGATTGACGTACGTCAAAAGTTCATCCTTCGGCTCCCCGCGGCGGGTGACCGAAGGCTCGGCGGGAATTCCACCCCGCGGAGTGCAAGACCCGCTTACACAATAGGAACAAATGTGACAACCAGCTTCCACTTTTAACAGCATGTCCGTCGGTGCGTCTATCCGAGCGGCCAAGCAACCAACCAGCCGTCGGTCCGCCCGACCGACCCACCGACGAACCAGTCGACTAACAAACCCGGTTGTCGAGGTGCCAGCATTCCGTGGAGCGTTCCGTACAGCTATTCGTGCACTTGTCGTTCGGTTTCCCTGCCGCGATATGTGCATAAATCTTGTGCGTAGAGATAGTTTCGATTGTTATCTCTGGGGATGCCCGAGCGAGCGTCGCCATCGCTCAGGTTTTTGGCTTCGTTCGTCGGACTCTCGACCTGAGTACAGTATTTTTGGAGTCCCTCAAACGTGACAGGCCGCTGCTCTCGCTAAATGAAGTGCGGTTCGGGGAACGTTTATCGACGATGCCCTTTTTGGAGCTTCGTCCCTTGTTTTTCTTCCACGTCAGCATCTGGTGGCTTCCACTGGTCGGAAACGAACTTCGGGGATTGACGATCTCCCACTGTCTATCTCCCACCTCAGTTTTGTGAAAATCCAACATTCTATCCACTGGGGACCATATGTATGTAGAAGTGGAGATGAAACTTGTATTATGGGAGCTCGGCTGGGATGCTTGAATTCCGAGGCCGGGAGATGAAGCTCGATTTTCATTGAGAACTTGCCCGTTACGTGTCGAGGTTAGGACACGGGGATGTCCGAGAACGTCATTCTTCCAAACCGTATTTTTCATTTCGGATTTTTTCTCTCCGATGATCCGTTGCGCTGAAAAATCAATTTTCGGTTTCCCGAAAGTCCGCGGGGAACGAGAGCCAGTTTGTAACAAGCTCGTGTCGCAGTGGTCAGACAACGGAAAATGAGGCGTCGAGGTTGACAGCCGGATGTCGCGAAACGAATGACTCAGCGCGAGATGTCGGCTGCCATTCGACATTCGCTGACCGATTCCCGTGAACGCTTCAATATTCTGGAGTCGTCACATCCTACGTTCCCAAGAGCTGACTGACTTGTCTTTCTACCTCTTTTTGACGAATGTTTCCGATCATCGGTCCAACGTTATCCGCTTGTTTACATTCGATTCAAGCGACGAATATCCGCATGGTTCGAGTGTTCTGTGTTTCTAATGGGGATTCGCATCTCCATATGGAGGCTGTCACGAGGAACCGCTTTTGTTGATCCGGATTCCACAGTCGAAAATTCTCATCGACACGAGAAGGATTTTTGAGGAGTGTTTCCCTTCGCGGACGAACACCAAAGTACTCGACCCGGGGAAGGGCCGCCCCCACCTACTTTGGGGACTTGATGAACGCCTTCATGGCTCGTGAGTTGCCCGCTGTTCTTTGTGCATAATTCCAACTCGAACTCCGGAATTTGTTTCCGCTCCAGAGTGCAGTGCTTGATCGACGGCAGTCCGACCCATTCATTGAGATCTCCGTCGAGAGTCGAGAGGCAAAACTCCGGAGGGGGCTTGGACCTCGCCCCTGAACTCACAACGGTTAGGTGCATACCCTTTGTGGTTTGTACGGGGAGACAGACTCGCCGTGGAGGGGAGCTCGGCGCGTATCCTTAGAAGTCCCCAGGTACCCGCGAAAACTCTCAGCTCTCGATCACGCTCCTCGTTCTTTAATCTCGATTCGGGGATCCGGATTACCAGGCTCGGAGATTTCAGGCTCAAAGCCCTCGGTCTCGCTGCGCTTCTTCGGATTCTGAGTCCATGATCGACTCGGCCGCGAATGTGAAGCGCTACCCTGTGAAATCGGATCACGTCAGGGATGGCAGGTTACGGGGATCGTCGCAGGGAGAGACTAGGGAACTAGGGCTCGGGTAGGGGTTAGGGGCGGGGAGATCGGTCTCGGAGGATAGGGACACGCCCCGCGAACGTTTCAGGGCAGCTCCATCAATGATGATTTCTATTTTATTACTCTGCTTGCCGACGGAACCATCAACGCCGCTTGAAGGCACCCAATGAATCCGTGTCAGTTCGTCAAAAGCGTTGACGTGCGTCACGATGACCTGCCTCACGAGGAAAACGTGAATTGAGAGACCGGGCCGGAGTCCCCGTTCAATTCGCTCGGCTGCGGAACAATCGTTCTCAGAGAAGAGGCGGGGTAGTCAATTTTTTCCGCGTTCTGAGAGGCTTACATCTTCCATGACTGGAAAATAAGCCTAACTATACGTGAAGCACGATATCAGAAATAGAAGTCCGTCAGTGCGATCACCGATTCCGTGGGAAGGACCCGGATACAGAGGACCTGCTCGGAGCATGGGTCAGTGTAAAGCTCCTATGAGCTCGTTTCGGTACTCGGCCCTGATCTGCCGTCAAGTTTATTGGGGTTGTAGTGGCCTGTCGGAGATGAAAGCCCGAGAGAGAATTGGGGAGAGTTTATGAGAGTTGCATGGAACGATATTGGAGAGAACTATGGAGTGAGATCGTAGATGATGCCATCACGGCCGTCATCAACTCGTCACGTACCTGTGATCGTAGCGGCTAGGTAGTCCCGAACCAACACCATCTCGTACCGACTGATCTCATTGTCGGCGGGCGGCTGGCCGTCCGGACGGTTACCACAGAGGGTTTGTCGAGATGCGTATTTACAGGATCCGACCCACTGTGAGCCACGACCCACTCTTCAACCCAGCTTACAAATCCGGGGAGCTACGTTCAACCGACCTTGCGGCTCGGCTTAGCTGGTCCGCATTCGGCTCCACACGGCTGTCCGGTCGGTCGCTTGCTCTTGGATCAAAACGCACGGCGATACAACAGCAACGACTGGCCATCATAGCTTTAGGGTTAGCCGTCGACGTTCAGGCGACTCTCTAATAGTCCGTTGTCAGGCTGAAAGCGATCGTTTCTCGCTACGCTGTGCTTTTTTTGTCGTTGTGATCAAACATCGAATACATGAGGTAGCAGGCGTAGCATACACTCCTCGTAAGGCCGCGATGCACCGCGTGACCGTTCACCGCGTGACCGTTCACCGCGCCGAAAATATTGATCGCGAAGAAAGCATACTGCGGAAAATGCTGATGCCGAGTGAGCTCAGACCGTTGAGGTCTCCGAATATAACACGGAGGTCCAATGAGCACAGATTCTTGGAACTTCAGGGGGGGGGGCTCCGCAGCGGATCGCGAGGGGTCCCGATGTCACTCCTGGAAAAAAGCGATCGACGAGGAGAGACAAGGGAATCAAAAATGGCTCGAGCGGGTCCCCTGAGAGTCCGCTGTAGCTTTGGGCTCGTCTCTTACCGAGCTCTTCGATGGGGATTCTTCGACGCTCAAGACTTTGGAGCGCTCATCGAAGCCTATCCCAGACATCAATCCGCAGTCAAACGCATCCGGAATCGAGTCGCACAGACGGACGCAGACGTCTGTTCGAGGAGATGCTCCGAGCTACATATGTATATCTCGGGATGACTCGCGACGTCGTGAGTTATTATCTTGTTCATTTTCCCGGGAATGCCTCACCGGCTGCACTGGGTGAGCGTCCCGCAGCAAAGCTGGCCATCCTATTCAATATGACTTGATTCCGAACGGTTCTGCTCGGAGAAGCGTTTTCGCTCTTGCTGTCTCCGTCGAGCTGCGACGCGAAAGCGTCAATGGTACCGGTGTATTCCTCTCGCTCAGTATGACTGTGAATCGCGGTGTTTAATAGTGCCTCTACGGGACGAGTGTTATCTCAGTGCGATTCCTATTCGACCGACGGAGTCTGTTAGCTGACTCGCTACTCGGCCAAGCAGTGGCTGCAGCTGTCCAAGCTGGTCTTCTCTCATTTTTTCTCGTCGGAATGCTTTACAGTCATCGTCACCCAGTCGTTTACGACTCAACCACGCCACAACCATGTTATCTCCTGGACAGTTTACTACACGACTTAATTGGATGCAACCACTACGAGCACAAGCTCTGATCTGACAGGCCAGCTTGCCGTTTGGAACACCTCGGAACTTTTTGACTGATAGCGCGGTCGGTACTTTTCTCCCGCAGAACCGCGACTTCCATTTTAAGCCTCGACAGGAAAACGGGACGGAGGCTCGAGCCCCGCCGGGGGGCAGCTGCTTTCTTCAATGAAAACGCGCGAATCGGACCCCGGGAACCCTAAACCTATGACCGGGTTTGGGAAATCCTGACGAGGGTTCCCGTGTAGATAATTTTTGAAATCCTCGGAATGTGGGGAGGAAAAAATTCATTCCAATCGTCGAAATCAGAACGGCCGGCTTCCGATCATTTATACGGCCCATTCGAGCTTCGTACATCGCCCAGAGCGTCCGTGTGAAGTGAAGCCCGGTCTTTGGCGCGGATTAGTCAAGCCCCGATTGTTGCCATGAAAGACTCAAAACGCGATAGTTGGCTGAGCCCGTACGCTGCACTCGTCGCCGTCGCTCGGTCGTCCGGTCGGTACCGCTCGGTAATGATGTCATAAAATGAGGAATCGTAGAATCTTCGCGAGTTACGACCTCTGAGCACTTTAGCACAGCCGTGGAAATCTGAGTGAAATTCGCGTGCTTGGGCTTTTACTCACTTTTAATTGGAGGAAACGCTGCTCGGCGTTTTACTCTGGGTCTAATGAGACGTAATCGCAACATCCCTAGTCGTGAGTTTTCCTCAGCACGTAGGTCTGGATCAGATTCACGGATATCGTTCCTCCGTTTCCAGGTTCATGGAGATCGTTGAGCAATACTGAGTGAGCATCGGTCTTGTTCGAATCGCCTTGAAAGGAGAGAGGAAAATCATGGCTCTGTTCGACGATCCTCGATTCCTGCTCTCCCACATCCGGCATTCATTCAGAAATTCGGACGAGTCGAGTAAGTTACTGTGATCTCGAATTTTATTATCGCCACAGGGGAGACGAGAATAAACATTTCGATACGAGGAGATCTTCGAGAACCCTTCCGCCCACGAAGGCGTTGTGCACATTCGAAGTCGACAACCGATGCGAAGTCTCTGAGAGTTCGCATCAGATGCAACACGGTCTTCTACAGTTATCTATGATGGGACAAGGTGTGGAGGCTCCCTAAGGGACAGTTTGAACGCTTCCAGGAATGTACGAGCTGGCCATGGTGACAGATATCATGCATCAGAACCCGTTCGAACCGATGCGTGGCAAAGATTCGACTACATCGTCTCCCTCGTCGCTGCTCAGCGCTCAGCTAGATCTCTACTCGGTGAACGACCCGGAGCTGGTTCAGATGGCTCACTCGTGCGATATCGTCATGGACAATGAGTTGGTGGGCGCCCATCGCCGGCGATCGAACACCGCGCAGCGTTTGGACAAACTCAAGAAGGAGCGTCGCCTGCAGGCCAAGATTAAGAGGATCACCCTGCGGAATCCGCATCCGACCGACCAACAGGACCCTAAAGACGGTAGGTTCCGAAAGCTGTGGAGCAAGCTCCTTCCTTACCTATTAAGGTTCCCGTCGGGCTTTATCAGTGATTAACGCTTTTAATTAAAAGTCGCTCCAAGGACCGCGCGTTCGAAAGAGGCGAAATAGAGAGGAATGAGGGAACAGAGAGAGGGTGAGCGAGTGAGAGGGGGGGGGGTGCGTATTAGGTGCAGGAGCAGCAGCAGCAGCAAGAGTAGGAGACTAGCGAGCGAGCAAGTAGACGCGAAGCGGGCAAGCGAGCAGAAACTCCACTAGCGCCTCTGCGACTACTAGAACCACTTCCACTGGTTCTGCCAGCACTGTGCCACAACAATTTAGATTAGAAAGCGAGAGGAAAAGAGATCGCGGTGGGTTTGTCGGGTGGGTAGTTGGCTCCCTGTACCGTCCGCGTCCTCTGCCCGTACGAGGAGCAATAGCTGTACTTTTCAGCCGCTGAAAAATCGCATCCGTGATGAACAGTCCGGACGTTTTTTGGGAGCTCGCACAATGAACCAGATAAGAGGAATTTCAACTTTGAAAATAAAGCTCCACGCCGCCTGCTGCTCGCAAGAGCGACGGCATTCATGGCGTATATTTATTGTCGCCCGCGAGCTCGGTACCGGGTACAAGCTCTCAAAACCGCAGGCTCGCCATCGATAGAAGTTGCAGAAACCTCTGCGCCGCCAAGCGTTGATGGTAATTTCTCGAACAGAGGGAGGTGTATCGTTACGACGATCGAGCGCGGAGCTCCACCTGTGGGGAATCATTCATCAAATCATTCATCAAATATCTATCAAATATCTATAGTATCGTTATTCGGGGAGTACCATGGCTCGTTCCCTGATAATCCGCTCCTGACTCCTCGTGTCTCTGCCGATCGGCTGTACGACCCGGTTGTTCAGCATTCGAGGTTTGGTCCGTATTGTTTGGCTCCGATAAAACCCTGCTCCCGTACTCTCGCCGACTTCTTCCTGACACCCCATCGGGAGAAGTTCATGAAACTGGGTAGGTAGGTGCCGCGTTATATTCCGCGTTTCGTTGCCTACTACCCTAACTCGATTGAAATGCAAGCCGGGGTAGGCGGCGGGAGCGGGGGAACGAGTCGGACGGGTGGACTAGACGGGGATAAGGGGAAGGGGCGTCTGCTAAAAAGCAGAAAGATTGGTTCGAGGGGAGTTGATTCAATTCAGACGGTCATTCCGAATCAACTCGCCTCGAGTGAGTGAGGCGGGCAGGCAGTCAGTCAGTCAGCCAGCCAGCCAGCCAGCCGACTGGCCAGAGAGCCGCCGCTCCGCCTTAGACCTGAGAATAGCGCGAGAGCCAATTCCAAGGTGTCCATTTCATATCCGGCATCTCTGGCCCCTAGAGGGAGGGACTCCTCCGACGTCTCGGGGAGTTGGCCGGGGGAGAAGCGAGGCGGGTTCGGGGCAGGAAGGAACTCGGGTCGGGGCTCTCGGCTGACAGAGTCTTAATCTTGAGATCCGCTGACAAGACATATCGCCCTTTGGGGAGCCGGTCGAGTCGGCCAGTGAAGGGCTATTTTTAATAGATAAAGTGTACTCCATCCTCCGCCACGATGGAACAACTCGCGAGAAAAAGAGCTGTTGCCCGTCTAACGATCATTTATCGAAGTTAGCCTGCGGTAGGAATGCGATAGGAACACGCGCTCGCTCCGACACTGGGCTTCTCAGCTAGCTCGCTCTACGATATCAAATACAGGAACGTGAATTCGTCTTAGTAATGTTTCTCGCAAGCTTCCGCGGGACACTCCCGGTATCCGAGCGGGACTCAATGTCCCCCCTCCGAATAGAGAATCTATTCATTTTTCGCGCGGAGAAGCTAGCCGGTGAATTAGTCCAGATGCCGTCCTGCGAATGCCTTCAAATGATTCTCAGCGAAGGAGTTCCTCGGCTCTCAATAATTCACAATCATAAATTTCTGCCTAACTCGGCATTCCGACTGAATTTCTGCTTCATTCAGGAACCATTGTATTTGTTGCGAAGGAAATCAGGAGGCAACCATACGATCCAGCTGCGGAGAAGAAGGTCACATCTCTATTGAGTCACCTCTTGATCACCCGTCCACTGCCCGTCAATCCATTCTCAGCATACAGCCGACTAGATATCCGAGTGAGTATACGCAAAGCTAACCAAGTGAATCCTCATTCCATATGGAAGTTTCCAATGCTTCACGATAAAGTTTCTCGGAAGTTCCTCAAGGGGTAGTGCTATCGGGTCGGAGTTTCGGCTATTCCCACAGAGGGAATGAATTCGTCTAGATACGTCAAGCAAGTCTGTGGTTCATGAAGAGGTTATGCGCACGAGGGAAGCGCCCTCAGAATTTTGAACTCTGAGGCGTCGAGGGAGCGGGCTGCCATAGCCGGCACACAATTCCCGACAAGAGATTAGGATCATTGGGAGCGCTTCCGGCTGCAGCAGGCCCGAGTCGGTTGCCACATTCGGAAGGTCGATTTCGGAGTTTCTGAGTGAGATTCGCTTGAAGAACATGTACATCCATACTCCTCATCGTTCTCGACGCTTGAAGTCTCCCCGTCGATGTCCCCTCGAATTTATGGGCCTGTGGGGATGAACGATGATTACCCACTCGTGAGGTCGTGGGTCGATACCATCAACCTCTCAGTCCCTCCATGGATAGTTTCAATAAGGCCGGGGGCAGCCTCAGCGGACGAGCAGCATGTTCCCCGATTTTATGCGCGGTTGCTTTACGAGAGTCGGAAACTACGCTTCTCACGATTTCGCTCTTAGTATCAAAAGATAATTAGTGTCGTTCGTGAAGATTAGCGCTCCGGTGTCGATAGCCTGTTGATGCTCGCCTGATCCAGATTTCGCTGCCTGATCCTGTCTCCTGAGTTTATCTGAATATTCTGCCATTCCGAATGGGCATTTCGATGGCTGCCGCCAATTGGAGACCTCCTGTCGCGGGAGGTCTGACCCACTGACGATTGCGCAGGATCAACAGAGTTATCTCGGTTTCCGGTTCGCTCCGGAGTTCCCGCTCCGGCTTTGCAATAAGTCAGGAATCTCGGGGAGTCTAAACGAGTCCTTGTCTGCAATCCCAGCGAGGAAGAGATAGGACTCGACATTAAAAGTCACGAATCCTCACTTTGCACAACACGAACTTCCTCAATCGGGCGAGTCTCCATGACGGTCTGACACGGAATGTCTGTCCTACGAGCTACTCCCTCTCTACTCGCTTACCAGCTCTACGTCCGATGGGTGGCTATGGAGTTTCAAACAAACCCGGAACATACTGAGAGTACGCGTAATTCTTGGTCCCTACGGTCAGTGGGGCGATCCGCAGGCCTTCCGGGGCAGGGCTCGGTAGAGAAATGGATTGATGAAGTTCGAGAATAAGTAGCATGGGCAAAGGAGGAAAAGTATTCGGCTCGGAAGCGCGAAGATCAAAAACTGACCATCAAGTCGCTTTCCCTTGAATTATTCGGGAGAGTGATTCTACCAGCGAACTCTCGTCGAACAGAACGAGTTTCTCCCTTCGAATAAGAGCAGAAGGTGTCCGTGCATTCACCAAATCATAATTCATCTTCACCTGAGCTGTGTCTCGCATTCAGGCAGAGCCAGTTGTGAGTAGCAGAGGCCATTATTATTTGCTGCGTTAAGTTGATTAGCGCCGCCCGCCGACCACAACTGACCAGTGCTTATCTTGCTCGATGGAGGTTCCTTCTTTTCCTCCCTCTTGCATTCTGACTCTGGCTACCGTTCCCCCGCACCCCTCCGTTTGCCGCGCTCAGCTCGGCCCTCGTTTGTCCAGCTCCTACCGCTGCTGCTCCTCCCCCATGTACTCCTTCCTCTCTCGGACACTGGCCAGTACTACGCGTGCTCACACATGAGCTCGGTCGGCCAACGGAAGGGCGAGCGAACACTGACGACTCTGTGTAAAATGTTGATTTAATTTGCGGCTTGCAGCAGCCCCAGAAGATATGGACAGTGTCCACCCGTCCAAAACGTCTATTAGCTTCGTAATTACTGCCATCGCCCCAGACACGGCCCTAAGTCCCCCTAGAGCTGAAGACTCTCGCTGCCAGGAGTAGCATCATGCTGCTTAAAAGCACTCGCGCACGAGACTAGCCGCTCTTTGTGGACCACCCTCGGGAAGACAATCATTTCTGCCTATCTGATGGGCAGTCGGGCGCTGGCGTATTTGAATCGTATTCAACAGAGTCCTGTTCTTTGCCATCTCCCCTTTTTCCCCACGAGACTGATTTGCTCACTGGGTCCATAGAACGGACAGAGATAATTTCTGACCCGAGTCGAGTCTCTGTGGTATGCTCGAACCACCCCTGAATTGTAAGAGGAGAAATCATTCCCATGATTCCTCTCTCATGATTTGGATGAAGAGCCTCATTCCATTCTGTGACGGTTCGCGAGAGGATACCCCGAGAGCGGTCACAATCTCCGTTTTGCGAGGGCTGGAGCTCGCCCCGACTCCCGTGTATGATACTTCCATCATATCCGAAACCCGTCGAGAAACTCTATTAGCGATAGTTCACGATTCCACTTTTCTCCAATTCCAGGGTCAACCAACTGCAAAGCGGATAAAGGTTTATCTCCCGATGCTCCCTGAGGCTGATAGAGGTTTCCCGATGACAGTTTCCTGTGACGGGAATACCACGGTCGGAGATCTGATAGGTCTCATCTGTTGGCAGTACACCATCGAAGAGCGGAAACCAGACCTTAAGTAAGTTGAATATCAATCAGAATACCCTTTTCAGAGGAGGAGAACGCGGAAGAATGGAATTCGTTCATGGCAGTAGATCCGGCCTGTCTTGTTAAAATGAGTGGTGGTGAAATCTGAAGGATCTTCCCCTTGCAGACCTCATACGAAGTATTACTGTCTGCGATTTGCCGAAGAAACCGGCGAGGTCGAAGACGAATTCCCTTCGGTCGACAATCGTGAACCCATCGGGAAATATGACTTTCCGAGCTATCAGATCCAGGAGATCACACCGTTGGATACGATGCCGTTCGTCGTCACCTTCTACATGAACGAAGGCTTCAGCAAAGTCACTCTTGAAGGAGAGGGCGCAACTTTGAGGGACGCGGTCAACGAGCTCTTCAAGCATCGGGCTGGTCTGCAGGACGCAATCGGCAGCGATTTCGTCGTGGAGAAGAGGACCGGGCCGGGAGTTCCGCTGAGTCTGGACGCGAGACTCGATTCATTTTACACGACGGAGTTCCGACTCCGGGCTGAAGCAGCCCCGCCGGTGCAGCAGAGGGTCAATAAACACACACCGCGGCTCCCGGAGCTGAAGATGTTCTCAGCCGGGAGTTTTCAAACCTACATGGTCCAAATGATCCAGAAAATCGGGAAGAATGTCACCGTGCAATTAGGTAAGCAGGAAAGCTCCCTCTTCAGAAACCAGACGCAATCGTATGAGCCGTTATATATATTATATATGAATAATATAATACATACCTTCGAGTCACCATCGAGGATGTGAATCCGGAAATCTCAAAATCGACCTGGAGTAAAAAACCTTCTCTCCGATCGTAGCCGTCTCGAGCGAAAAAATCGAAATCACGCCACTGCCGCAAAAATCGGTCAACAAAATGCTGTGGCAAGTTAAGCCGGCATCGCACAATATGAAGTACATAGCTGGCTGCGAACTCATGACTCCGAAAATGAGTGAGTATTCTCCTGAGTTTTATTCGAGCATACTCGTTTCGTGAATCCATCACCCCATGTTGTCCTTGTTCCTTTGGCATCCAAAGTTCTTGAATTCTTCCATTTTGCAGGTAGTGATAAACGGTGTCTGAAAATTGTGTACATGGATGGTGAGAGTTTCAAGGACTATATGTTCGAGGCATCGATCGAGAAAGCCAGTGAAATCGATGATCAGATCAAGAGCATTCTTCAGATGCGGAGCACCGACGCTCAGAAAGCCTATAACGTCGAACGGCAGAAACGTTTATCAAGAAAGCCAAGTTTTCTGTCGAATCCTTTCGGATGATTGAGCATGTATCATGTGGAAGCGTCGAGACTGAACCAAAGTTGCTGCGAGTCTTTATTAAAGTAATCCAAAGGTCTACTAGATTAAAGTTGAGCTTCATTGGAACATCTCGATCTGGATAAATTTTAGGAGGATGAGAATTGGGCTGTTGAATCATTGACGCCTCATGAATGACTGCGATTCCTGATAAGCGAATCAGGAGTTCGGTTGCTCCTCAGGTCCAGGGAAGCTCCTGCGAATCGATTCTATCAGAGTCACGGGAATCGACGGCTCGATGTTTCTCCTTTCGGCGTGAGAGCAATTTTCAATATCTGCCGCCGGAGACTTTCCGTTCTAGTTTCAAGGAGCACGGGAGTGGTCACGTCGACTCATCTTCTAGTGTCACACAGGGTGTAGCCCTAACGCCGAGTGCGGCCCGAGCATTTTGCCGATGACATCCCAAGGAGCTGGGGGGAGTGCTCGAGCTTGACAATTTCACCCGCTCCACTGCAGAGAGTTCCTGGGATCAATTTTCGACCTCGATCCAATTCGATGAGTCGACAAGGCTCGCAGAGATAAAGCGTGACTTTGTAAACATAGGTGTGATCGAATATGACTGCTCGTCTGGCCATTCCTGGGAGGAGTTTTCGTAGAAAAACCCAATGACTCTTCGAGTGCTTCCCCGAGTCATTCGGTCGTCAGTGAATACTAATCGCAATTCTTGGGGAAACACGGCTCTCGACTATTCAAAGAGAACCGTCCCTCGGGACAAGACCTTCGAAACGGATATTCGCGCATAAAGAGCGCACAGCAAAGCAGGTCGAGCAATCACGGAAGTCATAAAACGCAGGTGATGGATTCACAGAAATATTGGGCACGCCAAATCAGTGACGTATTTAGATCCGATCGATGGGAGCGAGTCGTATACGAAAGACAATCTGTCAAGGAAAGTCCTGTTTACGAGTCATCATGGTGATGGCGATTGCCGATACGGTCGGAATTTTCAAGAACAGGATATTAAGCTACCTACTGCGAAGAATTTCACACCCAAACTCTGGAGACCGAGGACGGAGGATCGCGCTGCCGGAAAGCCGACTCGAAAACGATCGGTGCGAAGGTTTACATCGATGCCTGGCTTGAATGTTATCTACTCGCTCTAGGTCAACAATCCAGGCGTCGCGATAGCACAAGCCTCAGTTCATTCTTGATAAGATATGATTCTCAATTGGAGGAAGGAAGCATTCTCATTCGGTTGGGTCCCATGCAGTCGCGAGATTTCCCGTGGTCGCTGAGATTCGGACGAACGGCGAACGTCAACCTGGTATTTACCGACCGGACACCAACCGGCTCCAAAACCGGTGAAGAGCCGAAATACTCGACAACATATTCAGCTGTTATCCATGTTGTCGTGATACACTGTGGGGAGATAGCGCAATCTGCGTAGATATCCCGTAGGAGGCGGTGTAAAGTTTGAGCGAAACCCCAACGTACATGCGACGAGACAATTCTATCTCTCCGTATATCTTCACTCAATACTCATTCATTGAGCCCTCAAACAAATTGTGGGTAGTGATGTGCCAAAAGATTTTCATGCTTCCGGAAAGGAGAGAGCGATCCATCATCCACGATAGGGATGATCTCCATCTCGAGTAAATGCGGGTTCCTGAATCGGACGTCTTCTGTCGAGTGGGTTACCTATGGAGTAGATATACGGGCTGATCTCCGATAGCGTATCACCCGGATAACCAGGGTCGGGGGTACCGATTCGGAACTCGCGATTTCTCGAACGACCGTTGCCTGATCTCGGTGCAGCCTCCCAATCGGGCAGCATCCGTGCGTCAATAGTTCGACACTCGCTGAGCATTCGAATACCTCGTCGATGTGCCCTGGATCCAACGCATCATTCCATCCTCCGGTTGGCCGATCTGACTTCACCTCAGATATGCGTTCTGGAAGGATGGAGTTCACGGAACGCCCTCCCGCCGGAAGCTCCAGAAACACCAAAGCTATAGGTATAGGGTGTTATTCGCGTGGGTGATTCCAGAGAAGGACAATGAAGGACGACTGGGAACAGGTGGGTCTGAAAGGGGGAGGGGGCTGAGGGAGCTTAAGCAGCGCCCAGATTATTCCTCCGTCTGTCTAGGGTATGCAAGCGTTTCGCCGAAGGGTGGAATCATCTGGAAACAGCCGACTGCGATCTAAATCGAGGGACGTGTCCCTTGCACGTTCGCCCGATAAGGAATCCGAGCGAGCGCTTACAGGGAGCGCAAGGGATCCTGAACGAGCTGATCTAGAATGCGATCTAGCTAATTTTATTGTATCGCAGAGTGGACTTACCGGTGCTATCACTGATAGTGGCGATAAAGATTTGGTCGACGAAGTTCCAGATGGATGGAAATGCGTCTCAAGTCCGTGGGGATTTCAGGTCTGATAAAATACTCGCCTCTCGCGAGGAGGATTTACAGAGAAGCGGGAGGAGCGCAAAAGAACTTCGACCGTCATACTCGTCACACCGGTCGCTGGTAACCGGGAACCCTCTCGCATCCCCGACTCGAGATCCCACCGAGTCCATCTTGAGGCTCAGGGGTATTCTGAACAAAAAACAGGTAATAAAATATAAGCATCAAAATCAGGGAACTTGTCGAGGATTCAGAATGGACTGAACTTTCGCGGGAAGGCTCCTCGATTCCGTAGTCTTCGATCCGCGATAACCGCTTTGTAGAATATCGACAACCATCCGTGATGGGCAGGAGGTGACGCTCGCGTTTACTCCATTGGTGTCCGCTAACAATCGAAGACCGACGCCGACGCATCGACTCACTCAGCTCTTACGTCGTTCACTGTAATCCACAGAACAGGTTCAACGGTGTTTCTCGAGACGAAATTTTATTGCCATTGTTCTGTAGGGCTGATCGACTATTTCGACCGGAATGAAGCTCGAGATGCGAGAAACTTCCCGCTGGAAGAGATTTTCGGATTTAGCGCGTGCCGATAAGGGTCTTGCCCCTGTCTGTGATTCGATCATCCAAAGATGCGATAGCCATATCTTCTACAAAATCGACAACTTGGTCGAGTCATCGGATCATCGTCAACACGGTCAAGTTTATCAATCGTGAACTCTTCCTAAGTAAGCTCGCAAGGACAAACCCGCGAACCAGACTTGATGAATAGTTCCACGCATGGTTCACCGGACGAAGCCACTGGAAACTCGCTCGGAGAAGGAGGCACTAGCTCTAAGAAGAGGACGCAGTGCGGTCGAGCAAAGAACCTCTGCGTAAGGTGGGTCAGGATTTTTCTTTGAGACGAACGGCAGTCGAAGTCAGGGCTTGAAGTAAATGGGCAGGCTTGTATCCCACTCGCTACCCAACGAAGCGTCAGCCCTTGAATATCAACAGTATCTCCGATGATTTCGGGCGCCCATCCTCATTTTGACTCCGAAGTGAATAATTCTCCGCATTAGCATCCTGGACGGTTGGAATCTCGGCATATGAAGTCGCCCGAAACAGGTGTTCATATGCTATTGGCTTCAAGTGGAGCCAAATTTTGTACTCACCTGTACAAAATTCGGTACACGAGTCTTTTGTACACGAACCTGCGGCTCAGGTCGTTCGGGACAGATTTCGGGGGCAGACTATGCGGCGATCGTTCCTGAATCACAGCTTAGTGCAAAGGCTCCCTCTGAAGGAGATTGCTGATTCCCGCTCGGGCTCGCGGCCCCTCCGAGCCATATGCGAACGGGAAAACAACCTCCATGCCGCAGAAGAGCCGCCGCGATGCTTTGTCTGGTCCGCATACGGCAGTGGAGACCAAGCTCCGGTTCTCGTACGTCTACTCCAAGATTAGCAGATTTATCTCGCACCACTGTCGTGATAAATGCGTCAATCAGAACGCCATTGCCTAAAACCGTCTCTCGTCCCGACGTTTACCAACAGCGAATCTACTCGTTCGAGAGCGACATTCTGCGGCCTGGTATCAGTGTCCAAGATGAGCTCAGGGAAAAAATGCACGAATACCGACCGAGTCCAGTTTTCGCTGCTCTACTCGAAAGAGAGACCCTCATATCATCTATGAGTCTGTGTCTCTCTTCTGTCTTATCACCAGCGCTAAAGATAAAACACAATCGCTATCAACAATGCCTCGTGGCGGTACTAGCGGCGGTGTTCTCCACCGGAGAAACCTTTCTCAAAGCGCCGATAAGGGATTACTCTCACGAACCTGCGCTAGATGCAGTTTTTCCTCGCTCGGCCGTTCACCGGACGGCTGCGTTGAAGACGACTGTTACGGCTCCCGAGTTCCGAGTGAAATTCGTTTTGAGTATTCGACCCGTGGCTGCTAACTCCTCCGGAAAATAGCTCTTTGGTGACGATGGTCTCCTTGGTGGCGAACGGGAGCCTCCCAGCTTCGGAATAGAGCGGACATCGCTGACCATTAGAGCCTATTTCGTCCGAGAGGAATAACTGGATGATAAAAGTTATTAAAATACGCCTCTCCTGTCTCGCCTTGTTCTTGTTCTAAGACAGCGACAAACACCTGAAACTCTTGTATGAAGCGTCAGTGTCACTCTACCTCAACAAGAATTGCCGTACACTGCCGCTCGCGAGACAGATCAGGGCGCTACCCTGTGATATCGTGCGGACGGTTTCTTATTCCTTGATAAGCAATCGGTGAGTGACCATCGTCGATATTGATGGACAATTCATATCATATATAATCGAATCAGCTGTGCGGTCCCTATCCTAATGTGCGCTACGTTGCCGTACCAAGAAGTTTCTCCTCCGGATCCGTCTCGAGAGTGGGCACGGTGAATTTCATCTGAGAATTCGGCTGTACACTTAAAACACACATCGACTGCATCAAGCATCGATGCTTCGAGTACATTTGCCAACTGACAGCTCGAGCCTGCGGAGACGTGATCGTTCCCAAAATCAGAAGGCTCGTTATCGCAGTGACACTCTCAAGCACCTACGGGGTGTCGAGATCAATGGAGAATCCTTCCCCTCCCCCGACGGGGTTCGCACCGCTCCGAGAGGGTGCATGCTGCAAGCTGGCCCCGCTCGTGGGTCGATCACAATGAACCCATTTCTCGGCAGGTCCGAGACGAGAGAACTAAGATATCACGAGCTCAGCGCTTCGCCGTTCGACTCCTTTTTCGCGGTATTTTCTGACGTCGGATCAGTTGATGACCGAATCGAGCCGATTGCCTTCAGCGCAGAAGCTGGTGAGCGAATTTGAGCCGGCGTCGTTTATTTTAGCTCGTTTAAATCAGAGATACACATATGGATATCTCGGGTACCGATATCTCGCAGTTTTCCCTTCATTCCAAGCTAGGTCTAGTTTTTGTTCTCGCTCGGTCGTTTCCGTATCAGCAAACGAATGACGCGATAGAGAATCCGTTTGTTTGACGCTGTTGACGGCGCAGTTATCGCGATAGGCTATCAGGATGTCGTGTCAAGAACAGAATAGGTTTTCTATTAACAGACTTGCTCTGTTTTCGTCTTTGCTTCCTGCCAAGCGCTCTTGGGCCATCAAGTTGGCCGACCGAGCGGCCGGCCTGCCTGCAGACAGAGCGGTCGCCCGACTTTGTGGAATGGCGAATGCCCATGGTGGCGAGCGCAGGCATTGTTTCAAGGAATGTGACCAATACGGCGGATGATTAATTCTGGAGCGGATTCGAGTGGAAGTCTCCGGCTTTCGGAGAAGACACCATGAACGAGAATCCGAGACGATGGCATCGACGTCGAGCATTGATGGTTAGCCGCTCGAGTTCGCCCGTTGTAGTCTGTTCCGGCGAAAGCGATAGCGCGGCATGAAAGTTGACACCTGCTGACCTCATCGTAGAATATTTCTCTTGTCATAAGGCAGGAATGTTCGACCGAATGAACGAGCAGCCGACCGAGCGATTGAGCGGGGGCTGTTGAACTCGAGATGCACATCGAGTTAAACTTGATTTTGTTCTCGTGAATTCCAGTCGAGATGGAGAAGCGCAACGAGTCGGACGAACATCCAATCTTGCTCCAGACGACCGTAGTTAACCCGAGCACCGGACTGCCCATCTGCACGTTGATCAAACTGCCTCCAGGAACGACAATCGAGAACCTGACCAACAGCTTCAAGAAAAAAAGCGTCGACGTGCGACCGACCTTGAAAAAAGAGGTCGTGGCCCTGACTCGTTTAGGATCTGCCAGCCTAGTCGCTGCTGCTGCTTCGGCCGCAACCGCTTCTGCGTCCTCCGCTCAAGAGAGCTCGGACGAAAGCGTTGAGGACGGCAAAGCAAACACAAGTGACGATTCGATGGACGGCGTGAACGTCTCATCATGTGTGAGTGACGACACAAGATCTGAAGCGGACCGTGATAATCTAGCGAGCCCGCCAAGCAGTCCGGGTGTAGCCACGATCCTTTCGCTTATTCCAGAGCCGCAGCGTGCCGGTTGCCACAACGGTCACAAGGCCACCATCCTGGGCGGACGTTACGTGCTGCAGAAAACCAACAGTCGAGCCCGGTTGACGGGACCATTTTTCTGCAATGCCTGTGGACTCCGCTTCGATTGGCACAGCAGCGCTCGGATGCACCTGAACTTCCACAACCGCGACTTCGAGGCTTGTGACAAGTGTCAAAAACGCACTTCGCCCGATAGCTGTGGATCTTCCACTGAGAAAACGGGCCGACCGCCCCGCTGCAACGTGTGCAACAAATCATTCTACTTGTGGAAAACGTATCTCGCTCACCAAGAAAAGCACAAAGATAAGGTGAAGTGCCCACTCTGTTGCAAATTTTTCCAAAGCCTCCACAACGTAGGCAGACATTACTACGATGAGCACAACGGCGTTCCCGTCGTATGCTCTCTCTGCGGCAACGGATATCGGGCCTTCAAACAGTATCAGAGCCATGTGGAAACCATGCACATGGGCGAAGAAGATGTCAAGGGAGCTCTCCAACCGAGCAACGACGACGCCATCAACTATTCGATCGATCTTCCGACCCTGCAACAGCTAGACCCTTCGATCCGGATTTTCTCCAGCGTCGAGCGCACTTGCCCAGTGCCGAATTGTGGCAGGATCTTCTCGACACAGCATACCATGCAACGGCACATTTATGATGTTCACTGCAATGAGCTCCTTCCGTGTGGACTCTGCGGCAACGCCTACAGGACTTACAGTCAATTCGAACGTCATTGTGAAGTTTTCCACGGAGAAAACTTCCGCGTTGAATTGCCCGTCGGAGAGATAAACGTTCCAGTGAAACGCAAGCGAGAGCGCGCCGCGGCCGAGAGCGAAAACGCTGGGAAAACTAAACGCCCGAAGAGCCGAGGGATCGACGCCGAAGTCTCGAGCTCTGAATCGAATCCACCCGACGAACCACTCGACATGACCGTGGTCAAACAGGAATTGTCCGACGACGTGATATTGCCGGACTAGGCCTTTGAGGTCAGGATTTTGATTGCTTCACGTCAGGAGACCCGATTGTAAATATCTGCGAAAGAGTCCATCTTCTTCATTATTCACTCACAGGAGTGATGGATATAATGGTTTCTCGACGGTTTCCCTCCTGGTAGGAGAGAAAATCGTCGACCGATCTCAAGGACGCGTACAAGGCGAAATGTCATGACACTGGAAAAGTCTGGCTACCTGGAGCGAGTTCTGTCGAATCATTCCTCCACAGCAATTCTCTCGAATCCTTGAAATGGTGTTCTCCTCCTACGAGGAGTCTGGAGTTCGTTTCAGTATCGAGACTTCTTCAATAAATCTGATGTTTCTCGGAGAGCTTCGTTCTCAGTCTCGGCACCGATCCAACAATGTGCGGAAGATCGCTGTCCAATAATAATTCTTCACGGTTCAAATTATCGGCAGATAGAAACAGGCTGGATGTGGGCTCATTCATCGATGTTCGTGTTTCGCCAGCGATTCGGGCACCCGAGGAATCTCGTAGGGGGATGGGGGACTTATTCTAGCGACTTTATTTTGAGCGGAGCTGATCCGATACGCCGGTTCCAGGACACTCCGACACTTCCTTCCGTCATCGATGCCAGGGGGCGACAGAAACATGAATTGCAGCTCGAGTACGTCTGTCGATCCTGATGTCGATGATATGAATGCGATAGCTGCGCCAAGGATTATCTTATCATTCCGAGGGCCAGACGAACTCTGTGTGAAGGGTCGGGGGTCAGAGCGAGGGGTCAAGTGCACATCTTGCGGGTTCGAGCCGGCATCCGGCAAGACGACGTGCCAAGCGTTCCCGCGCGCTCGTTGGGATCTGGAGATACCTTCAATATTCTTGTGTTGGCTAGCTGACAAGTCCATGTTTAGAGCATCTCACACTCACATCCGCTTCCGATGGTTCATCATCTCCCATCGAAATGAGCGGAGATTTTTAAAACGCATGTGCACAAAGGAATTCTGACCGGAGTCCATCGAGCGCTAGAGAGGAAGCCGACATGAACTTTCGGAAGTGTCTAGTCAGAACTCGAAAGCCTTGTTGCTTCTCAGATATCGTTTCTGTCCGCGGCGATTGACACTTTGCTTCCGTTTTTCACTGGGATGTGAACTACCGGAGACGACATCTCCAACCCTTGTCCTGACATCATCGTTCTCGTTGCTGTCAAATGTCGAGTTCTATGCGGAGATGAAAATGCGCGACCTCTCACGAAGTCTCGGAAAAATCAAGCCCTGGAAAATCGGAAATAGGGGCCCAGATTCCATGCCCCTTCGTATCGATGGGTTTCGGAATTGATTCCACGTCGCGATCTCTGTCAGGGCATGAATCACAACTGCTCAAGGCGCATTGGCTGCCTGACACGAACAAGGATGGTATTCTTCAGTAGTTTCGATCAGATGGACCATCCATAGCAGTCCAGGAGCGCAACCCTGACAGTCGTCAAGGAGCACCGGTCGTGCTCGCTGGAAACAGGCGCCGTACCGCATGCGGCAAGTCACGGTCTGTCTTCTGTCCAAGACTTTCCGCCTGGGTCGCGCGCGACAGTGGGGCGCGAAGGGAAGTTGCTATCCGCACACCCGTCACTTCGCTTGCCCTCGCATGAGTGAAAGAGCGTCTAGGAACGTCTTTTTAGCTCCACACGACCAGGTTCCCCGTTGTGTAGAATATGTTCAACTTGCTCGTGCTCCCGTTAGCCCTTGTGGGTGAGTTCTATTCTGAATTCCAATCTTGAAAATTTCACTCTGTGTCGAAGCAATCCCCCAGAAGGGTTCTAGGACGTCCCACGTCGGCTACGCTGCGATCGAGGCTGTAACGGAGGAAAGTATCGACGCCCTTTAGAGTGGGACGCGCAGCGTCGATCCTCTTGTGCTCGGTCATGTGTATGTTGTAGTGGAAGCCTCGATCCTGCGGAATCGTTCCTCGAGCTGTTTCCGTTACAGTGCCGGGACGTGGAATTCGAGAGTGCGTCTTATAACTTAATGAAAAAAAAATACCGCATGGGATCCTCGGATCCCGTTCCGGACCGCTTCGCAGAAGCTGGCGCCAATCATCAACGACTTGGTTATCTCGCGCGAGTCTCCGAATCTCAGGATCCATGGACGCGGAGCTGAATCGGTCTCTTGTTTCTGGGTCTTCAAAAACTTTTTCGGGCCGGAACGCACAGCCGAGACTTGACACCTCGGCTTGAAGAGAAAATGCCCCCAGGAGGATCAAGGTCGAGTACCTGCGCTTTCTTTGAGAATTTTCGGCTGGCAGCAGGGCCCAGAGCCCACGCCATGTCCCGCACGAGTGACATCGTATCTGCTCTTCAAGAGAGGAGAAAACCGTTCCTCAGTTCAGCCTCCTCGATATCTCTCACCGGAAGTCTGCTCAATCGTTCGGATTCATGCAGAAAGCTCATTTCGAGCTCATATGATGTGGAGCGCTGTTCGCTCGGGATCGAATTCCGTGATATTTTCCCGTCAAGGGACTGAAATCTTCGAGCATACGACGCAAACGGCGAGCAGAAGTGAATTCTTTGATGCAGCCTCTGTATTATATATGCCGCTTTCAGCGCGAACCTCGGCTCTGACTCTCGGTCGCTGGTACTCCGTTCCATGACAAAGTTTCTGTCGTATCGCGGACTTCGGACCGAGCTGTCTTCAGATCCAACGATGTTTCTAGTCGGATTGTCCAGCCGATCAAACCGATTCCAGATGGAATAATCCCAGGCTGCCAACGGAGGAGGGGACTTGATTACGCATCATGAGTCTCGCGACATCGCAGATCCCTTCTTCTTGACGTGAATATCCGTCTCTCGTAGCGCCATTCCGCGAAGCGTCCCGGCTTCAGTTCCGAAGCCTTCCTTGGCATCTATTCGTGAGGTGCGCAAATCCCATTCCGGAGCATCGGACACACGTTCCGCGATGCAAAGCAGACGCGGGCTCCTAACTAAGACGGCAAGACAAAAAAAAGTCAGAGCTACTAGCACTCCCTGGAAGCCAAGGCTGCGCGTCTCATTGTCAACAGGCACGAAGCTGCGAAGGGTTGCGGCGAATGTTCGGAACAAGACAACGAATGCTCACGCTGTGATCATTGTCAGCCGAAGACTTTTCTTACCACGACGGCGTCCAACATTTCGTTGCTAAATTCGTTTTCAAGGCACAGTGAGGAAGCGCCGCCGTGACAAGGAGCTTTTCTTTCCACTCAAACCATTACTACAGAAAGAACCGTTGATCTCGATCAGAGCGACAGGAAATTATTCCACTCCGCCAATTGATTTCAATCTCCTTATTTTCGCCGTTTTCCAGGGCTGGCGGAGGCCTTCCCCCAGGGGGGTCGGTTGAGTCATGCGACTCGTTGCTCCCTCGTCACATCCACACTGAACCTCAAGGACCCCGCGAATCACCGTACACATTTATCGCTTCTTCCTCGACCTATTCGAAAGAGAACTCCGTCCACGGCATTCAGGGTAGGTGAGCTTTCGCCTCGCGGAGAGCGATAAGCACACACGAAGATATGTTTTCGCATTAGCGGCCATATCAGATTAGTTAACCCATGCGATCCGAGGCCGTAGAACAGACCTGCAATCACGAAATTTTCTCATGGAGCGATAAAGGTATAACTAGCTTTGGTAACCACTGAACATATTCGAGAAATTCAAGGTCGAGAAACACGTGTTTCGTGAAGCTTCCGGCTGGTTTCACAGAACGTATGCGACAAGGAGCGTACGTTCCGTTCAACAGAATTATTTTTTATCCATTCGGATATTTCTTTCTGTTTTTTGGGTACATTCCAGCTCTCTCTCCCCTATAGAGCACTTCGAAACTTGCGCGAAGGGTTCACCCCGAAAGACCTTGTTTCCTGAGCCAACTCGCTTCGCACCTTTTCGTATTTAAAATCAATTTTTTTTCTGTCTTTTGCGATATAGTCCCGATCCTACGCGCCTACCCGAGGGCTAGAGCAGTATTGGCACAAGCCCGTCCCGGTATCAGAATCCAGAATCCATAGATTCGTTCAGCGTCCCCTCTCGACCCCCACGGAGGTTTCGCCAATGCGAAAATTAATGATTATCACCCTTTCCGACACATGCGAGAGTTCCGGCCGAGTTGCGAGAATTGGAGCATGCTTCGGAGTGTACAGATCAAGCATCAAAGTCAGCCGAGAACGTCCGCGGGATCTGTTTGACCCAAATCCATGTAATCATCACCACGGATATCTATATCTCGTCCGGGACGTAGCTGAACTCCATTTGAATAAATTGCGACAACGGTCTTAAGCTAATCCCCCGCAAGGCAGCGCTTCGCTTTTGCACTCTTGACTCTTCTGGAAGCCGAGGGAGCTCCCGAGGTGATAAGTCTGGCGATGATGTCATTTCCCATCAGAAAGCCCATATCTCTTTTCAGTTGAAATCGCCGGCTCAACTTTCAAAGGTTTCATTGTCGCTGCGATCGACCCCGATACCCACAAAAGGATTGGACGCTTCCAGGAAGTGACAGGAACGCAGCCACTCCCTTGCTCGGCAATAACTCACTCTGACGGTCAACTCAAGAAGCGGGTGAGCTTGTTGTGGGTTCCACCTAACGACATACCGAAGGGAAACGTCATCTTCATGGCGACTGTCGTCAAATCTTACAGCAATTATTACGCTGGCCTGATCGCGGCAGTGCCCATGTATAAGGCGATCGCTTGAACAAGGAAAACCGATGCCAAGCACGGAAAACCGGAGCTTGGCTCCGGAAGATAATAATGACGGCTATGGATTCTGACGACATAGGTAGATGCAGCAATTTCTAGGTATGAGAGAGTTCTAGGTAGACTAGGTAGATTCCGCGTTCAACTAACAGCAACCCTCAATACTCTACATGCAATCATTTCACGACGAATCACAGATGTTCATAGGTACATCTTCGAAAAAATAAACCGTTCCACGAAGGCTCTACGAAGTAAACAGCGCAATTGAGAAATATCATGACCGAGTATTGTCTCTAGATCAAGAAAGGCTCGTTCTGAAGACAGAGACCGGACCAATCATACTCATGAGGAGCGAATCTCGAAATCAATAGCTCGGGTATTCTTGACATACCAAGAACCGAGTTGCTTCTCATCTCAATGAAGAATTCTCGTCGTTCTTCATACCAATTTTATTTTTCCGCCTATGCACAGGTCGCCGAAAAGGCATCCTGGTGGATTATACATTTTCGTACATTTCGACGATATCCGTCGATATCGCTTATTTCCAGGAGTGTACACCGAGCCTCAACAGGAGCTGCCGCGTTGCATCGACTTTTGCGTCACGCGCAGAATATGAAACATAGAAATATATAGTCTCCAAATATATGCCCTCCGATCCGAAATAATGCCTAGAATGCCATCCTCGCCGATCACAAGATCTACACACGAAATTCCTCGCTCTCAACATACATACGAGAGATTTCACATTCGCAATCTCTCTCGCATTGTCGCTTTCCAGGTACGCGATCACCTTTGTATTCAGATACGTATATCGTGAAGAAGCTCGATACAAAATTCGGTCCCGTATGCACGTCATCGATTCACCAATGACCATCATCATCATCCCACCTACAATTGCCATTTACAAGAATATACTCCGACGAATTGCTCAGGCTTTGAGTTCAGAGCTCTGCCTCTTTTTGGGGACGGATGCCCTCGTCGGGAAGTTCTGCATGTATTACCCGTCGAACATTCACTCCGCACAAACACACCTGCGATCAGTCTCTCGATCCACTCAAAGAGTCGCATGCGCTCCATTGACCAGATTAAGTTCTAATTTTCAATTTGAACTAAGACCTCATTGGTATGAGATCGAATTGTCTAACATCCGGGACCCCTCACGCAGGAAGGGATGCTGTAGAGCTTGCTCGGCCGTGATCCTCGTGAACGGGTTTGGGTCAAGGAGCTTGTACAACAGGTCGAAGGCCACTCGATCGACATGTAGCCACGAGGGGTCCAAGCAAGCTCTGCGTTGCGGATTGTCGACTCCTCGCAGGCTGAGGCACAAAGCTGCCATATCCATGGGCTCCTTGCGAGAGGACGTCGTCAATTTCTTACCTGCAAAAGTTTCGAGCGTTCAGACGCATTCTCCCCTCCAGGACATTCTTCAGGTTCGACACTCGAGAAATCGAGCGTCGCTCCTCGGGAAGGCGACAGTCAATCGAGAGCGATGTATTGCGTACACTTACCGATAGCTTCGGCGGCCGCTTCGACCTTCACCGAACCTAGGAGGGTGATGACTTCGGCCAAGGCACTGAGGTCATCGTGTGCTCTGAAGAATGGATATCTCCCACTCAGGAGTGAGAGGTAAATCACAGCTGCAGACCATATATCGATTGCTGTGCTCTGGTTGCGGAACTTCATAAGAACTTCTGGTGCGCGAAATCCCGGTGTGCCGGCTCTAGGAGCCACCTCGGTCGGCCTCGAGAGACAGACGTTGCAAACCTGACGGAAAAGTTCAGAGATCAAGCTCTCGGGGTATTTTCGCAAATTCGAAAATCCTGCTCGGCGAGTAGGTAGATGGGTTCGTCTGACTCACCTCATTACGACCGAAGCAGAGACAGCGTTTAGACGTCAGGTGCGTGTCGGATCTACGACGTTCTAGTTTCACATTCGAAGGAATGGGAGTCGACACTCCTGGTCCTCTGAGTCCTCCCGTCAGCATTGTTCCCGGTGTAACTCCGTTCGAGACGCGTAGCGCTCCCGGAGTCATTTGCATCTGACAGATACGCTTAACTTTGCTTTCCTGCATTGAAAATACGATTGCCTTAGACAGGGTCCGACATCAGATGAGGAGATTGCTCGCTCAGCGGATCGACGCTGAACCGAGCACCCAGAGCAATAGATAAAATCGTCGGGCCTATGCCAAACATTCAATGTATTTACCAAGTTCTCTTGGTCGTTCCTCGCACGTTTTCTTCCCTGACTGTAGCCAAAGGCAGGGGAGAGACACTTGATTTCGTTTTCGATTTTCTCGGCGAGGCCGAAATCCACCAAGCAGTATCTGAGGAGAAGAAAATGGCCCATGAGATTAGATAGATAGAGCACCGGGAACTACGCTGAGTAATCGGGACCTGAATGAACTTACTGTTTCCGCTCTCTATTGTAAAGGAAATTGCTGGGCTTGATATCTCGATGAACTACTTTAAACTGATGAACCCTCGCTAATGCCTTCAGAAGGTTCCTCATGTATTCGCGAACCTCATTCACGCTGAGGAGTCGTACGTAGTCCTGCGGCAGAGGATAAATTATCCAGAGGCACAGATCACATATCACAGTTGAACGCTCTTCCTACGCGGTACCCATTCTTGATCTGATGCTTGTCGAAATCGTTTCTCTAGACTTACGGAAAATCTGTCGTGCGCGAAGAACGGCATAACGATCGCCACGTTTCCTTTATGCAAAAAGCAGGTTTTCAACTCCACCACGTTGTCCTTGCCTCTGGAAAGTCGCATGAGCAATCGGAAACTGAGTCTTCGAATAGATTGTCGCAATTATTTCCCGAGAAAATGCATAGGGGAATGTGCGCTTACCCGATGTCTTTGAGATATCGAAGTTCCTTCATGATTCTGCTCGGATGCGAAGTAGGTATAATGTACTTGAGCGCAAAATACCGGTCTGGCTGAGATTTGAGCCGAGCCTTGTAAACATATGAGAACGTGCCCTCGCCTATTCGCCCTTGGAGTTCCATGAACTGATGGACTTGCGGTATGTGTTGTTGAAGTCTGATCGCGTCTTCATCTTTCTCTGAGTTCGATTCTGATGCACTGCATGAAGAGTTTTTCGGATTAATTCCTCTCATATACGGAGAGCTCCCCCGCATGAGAGCAGGAGCCTCGTTTAAATTGTCACATGGTTGGAGGCATCCCTAGACGCCAAGAGGGGGGAACTCATTTTTCTCTTGGCACCAACCTGTACAGCTGAGAAGGCATTGCCGACTCCATGGTCCGTAACAAATTAATTTGCGAGAATGAACCAACGGACGTATTCGAATGATGTTGTTTCTTAAGCATACGATTTCTGTAACCATTGGTGGTTGCTTGAGCATCCCCTACGAACGAGGGAAAGGACGACAAACTCACTGAAGCTGTACGGGACAAGGCCTGCAAGGAGGAACGTAAAAAGCGTTATCGCGAGGAGAACACACTCTACGTATCCCGGAGGATTCCGTGTGGAAAACAGCGTGATTACAGTGGGAACGCGAAGGCGATCCGGGACGAGACGATCGCTCTCGAAGAGCATCGCAGACATTGCACCAGATCATACATCCTTGGATCATGGATTCCGATTTCCACATCGTCAAGGTATTTTCCGGCCCACAAGAGCCATTCCACCTTCGAACCCGAATCCGGAGGCCGGACGAGGTATTTGCCTCGATATAGAATGGTATGATATGCATCAGGAGGTTCGAACTCCGATGCGAGTCGCGCCAGATACATCGAAACGCTGATGGCTGCGTAACGAAGAATACTCGAGCAAGCACTGGGTGCATCTGACTCCATGATCGCGAGCGCCTCAGGGTCCCAAAAACCAGGGGGTAGTCGCTCTCAGAATGATCGGGTCAACGCTTACCATTGTGGTGGAGTCCCGGGTCGAGTTCGACAAAGTCGGGACCTAGGTTCACTCGAACAGTTCTTACATGGCGTGCCTTGCTGCCGCCGCAACCGAAAGCTCCCTTAAATCGCGGAGACTATTCGTTGGATGCAGGCTGGGGCTGGCGAATCGGAGGCTCCGCTACCCTTGCGCCATCCGCCACCGTCGTCGCGGCAACTGTTGCATCACTGGCACTGACAAGGTCCGGGCAGGATTTGGTTTTACGAGCAAGTGTGAGGGCAGAAACTGTAAAGCGATGAGAGGAACGAGCTCGAATGAATCCTAGCGACAGTGTACGGTTGGGGCTCGGATGACGAAGATAGAAAAACAAAGTTTCCGTGCGAATTCTCAGCCGAGCGATCAGCTTGCCCAGCGACTCAGACCATCCCCTCGGAAAAATTATTCTCCTCGGAGCCCACAGGGTGCGTGGGGGTAATGACGATTCAATGATTCTAGAAATCAGGACTCCCTGATTTACTTATTCGTGTCGCAATACTTCAGCGAGGAAGATCCCCGCACGAAGCTGGCAGAAAGCACCGAACTCGTCCTCCCCGTCAGCCGGCGCGTTCTCACCTGAGTCTGGCAGGCAAATAAGCGGCATTATTCGGTCAACTGGGTGACCACCATGTCGGATTCAAAACCAATCAAGATTCACATCCATACAACTTTTCTAAGAGATATTCAGAGCGGACGCGTACGCCCGCTCCTCCAACAGGAACGCTCGAGGAGATACTCGGGACATATTCGATCGGTCAATATCGTATTCAAGGGCTCCTCTTGACCAAGGAGATCCTTCTGCCTCGGGGGCAGAGGAACCAACTCCAGTCTTGCATTTCTGCTCCGCGTCAGCGAGCGGTGCAATCATCCGGCTGCCGAGTTCTTACGATCAAACGTAATGAACTTTTGGAAATGATATTTTCTCGATGGGTGGAGCAGCTCGCAAAGGGGTGAACCTAAAACTCTCAAAAGGAAGCGCGAGTGCGAAGAGGGGCAGGGGGACTTAGGGGAAGGTAGGAGGAAAAGGTAGAAGAGCCATAGGAAGAAATGCGTTGACGCACTACCCACAAAAGTGGAAAATTCAACTGGAGTGTGGGGCACATGTACATGATACCCACTGAAAAAAACCTATGGCTCTTTACCTGAAGGGAGAGAGCGGATAGTGGTGGACTTGACGAGTTTAGGATCGTTCGTTGAAGGGAAGACATGATGAGGAAGGGCATTCTGGAAAGAGGAAAAAGACTGAATCAGTGTGCCGTTATCTCCCTCCCAGAGAACAACAAAGAACATTGGATTCCAAGCCACGGCGACCTCCGGGACGTCTATCTCCCTCGCTTCTATCCCTTTCAAGGTCTCCATCTCCCGAGAGATGAGCTCACGAGGCTTGCGATCTGAAGACCCCGAGAACGTAGCCGTAAAATGGGGTGTGGGATTCCCTCGAAATCGGGTTAACCACGCGACTCCTCATCCTACTGATAAGGAGGAGCTCCAAATTATCGCTCTAGGACTTGAGAAGGATCATGTTGCTGATGACAGTTATGACTGATGCATACGCTTCCTCACAAACTTGTCCAACACTCGACCAACTTGATCTCCGTTTGCGGTTCGCGCAATCTCTGATGGACACACAGGAGATTGCCCTTCTCGTGCATCCCCCAGGATCTCTCGGGATCCAGACGAACTTCTTCAACCACGGCCTCGATTAAGTCGAGTAAGTCCGAAAGCATCAGGACCGACCGTCTACCACGAACGAAAAGGGGAGGTAAGTCCCGAGTCCCGTTAGAGCCAAAAGATCGAGTTCTTATGGCTCAAGTTCCGCATTCCGGCACCAAGAGAGTCCAAAGAATGGATTTTCCTCCTTCTATCCGTTTTCGGCGACGGATGCTGCGGGAAAAGTTCGGGCGAGTATCGCTCCCGACGAGCTTTTGGGGCTTCCGCTCGAGACGGGTGGCTCTTCAAGGGGTGCGATAATCGTGGCATGCAGACATTCATCAAGTTCCGCCGGTAGTTTTCTGGTTTCCACCGACTTACGAGGAAATACAAAGAGCGAGAGCAGAGATTGCGACGGGAGTACTGGGACGGCAAGTAGTCGCTTAGGGAAACCGCGTTTTGCAGCTGGAAGCGTTTGGAACTTCTCGAAGAACAACGCGTGGCCCCTCCCTCTGTTCGAATATCCTAGTAGTATCGAGACCTGAGCTGTGGAAGCGACCCATTTGTTCCGAATTCGTATCAGGCAGAGATCATCATCAGCGCCGCCATATTTTCTCGTACGGAACTTTTCTTCGAGTTTTGTGTGCTGTGTACCTCCGGAAGATCACGGCCTCTTCTCGAGCCTCCTTCTGTCTCGGTTGACATGTTTTTGAGCTGACACTTCGGACGTTTGACATGTGTGCGCGAGCTTGCTGTCATAGCCTTCGTGGTTTGCGAATCTCATTTTCATAAACAACGCAATCGGCTCAGCTGATCGAAGTCGCTCTGAGTTATAAACACGGGCAGCGTCCCGTGCGTTCAAGTCGGCTGACAGCCATTTCCAGAACCGCAAACACATCGATATCTGCGGGGAGCTCTGACCGGAAAAGGAAGAAGATGAAGCCGGAAAGGTAAGATCTCGAATTTATCGTCGCTCAAATCTTCGGGGGGCTTCATGTTTGTTTTGAGGATAGATGCTCTCTCTGAGGGTTCGAGGCCTCCCTCTCTCCCGCTGATCACGTGATCGGAGACGTCCTGCCCGGAAGGCTGAGAGACACGCAGGGTAAGCCCCGAGCACTCTGATCACCCTGTGATTCAACTAAAGCCATTCGTTCGCTTCTCGCATTATACCGCTCAGCGATGATTGCTTTGTCGAGAGTTCTACCCTCGGTGGCCGCGCGCGGTTTAGTCCGCTACAAACACGGCAGCACTTCTCGTCTGACGACTTTCAACTATCTGAAGCGACTCCCTCAACCGAGCGACAAGTGCATCGCGACTTATGTTTGGATCGATGGTACGGGCGAGCATTTGAGAAATAAGGCACGAACCCTGAACTTCATCCCCAGCCGTCTCGACCAGCTCCCCGAATGGAATTACGACGGCTCCTCGACCTACCAGGCCCGCGGAGGGAACTCCGACACTTTCATGCGACCTGTAGCCATGTACGAAGACCCCTTCTTGCCGAAAAGTCAGAACAAACTCGTATTGTGCGACACTTACCTCCCGGACGGATCTCCGACCCCGAGCAACCGCAGGAACAGCTGTGCCGAGGCCATGGAGAAAGTGAGCGACCAGGACCCCTGGTTTGGCATCGAACAGGAATATACGTTCCTGGATCTGCATGGTAGGCCTTACGGATGGCCGGAGGGGGGTTACCCCGCACCTCAGGGTCCGTACTATTGCGGTGTCGGATACGGTAGGGTCACCGGTCGGGATGTCGTCGACGTGCACTATCGGGCGTGTCTGTTCGCTGGAATCAACATATCCGGTACGAACGCCGAGGTGATGCTCTCTCAGTGGGAGTATCAAGTCACTTCGAAAGGAGTCGCGGCGCCCGATGAGCTTTGGATGTCTCGGTATCTTCTGCAGAGAGTGGCGGAAGACTACGGAATCGTAGTGACGTTCGACCCGAAACCCATGGCCGGGGATTGGAATGGAGCCGGGGGCCACGTCAATTTCTCGACTGAGGCCATGCGAGCCGAGGGGGGAATGGCCGTCATCGAACAGGCGATCGAGAAGCTTTCGAAGAGACACAAAACCCATATCACGAACTACGATCCCAAGCTAGGAAAGGACAATGAGCGACGTCTGACTGGAGCTCACGAGACTTCGTCAATTCACGAGTTTTCGTCCGGAGTCGCGAACCGAGGGTGCTCCGTTCGGATTCCCCGAGCCTGCGCCGATGCCGGCAAAGGTTACCTGGAAGACCGCCGACCAGCGTCCAACATGGATCCTTACGTCGTCACGGATCTCCTGGTGCGCACGTGCCTCCTGGACGAGACGGACTGAGAGATTCGGATCAGCTCCGGGATCGACGATGGGGAGGGAGGGGGGACAGCGATGACAAAATAAACCGGGGGTGCGCCGTCTGGATCGACCGATGTCTTTCTACAGTGTCTTACCGCGCGCATAGGATTCTAGTCCTCGTCGCTTTCTCTATACACACGCATCGAATCGAACGAAAAGTTGTTCTCGAACTCCCGCCGACCCATCTCGAGCGAGGATGATTGAGTTGCACATCAAGCCATCTAATCAAATGTGATGAATGTTCACGCTGGTACACCCTGATGTATTGAGAGGTGCGGATTTGATGTATCCAGATCGGATCTGATAGAATAGCGATCCTGGCGGAAGCAACGTGACGTAAATAAGGTCTTCGATTATACTCTATGTACGGGAAAACTCTCTGAAATCTCTGTGATGAGCTGCATATGTTATACGTATACCGTGAACGATTCGAATAATGGTTGCTTTTTAAGTAGGGGTCCGATTACCTGATTTTAAAATGGTACAATTTATTCAATGCCATATCCATAACTGTCTGAATATCAATGTGATTCTCATATCTGACGTGAAATATCATGTCGAATAGCAGGATACTCGTCTTAAGCGGCAGCGGCTCTGTCGACCATTTGGTCAAGGCGGAGCCTGTGGATATCCGTGCCGCTTCGAACTCATCACAGGAACTTTCTTATCGCTATATGCTCAGGGGAAATCTTCCTCAGAGCTTTTGATCGGTAACCACTGTAAATAAATGAAATATCTGAATTCGAAAGGACTTGATTCGATCATTGACGTGTTGTGGGTGGGATGTTTCCAACTTCGTGTGGAAACGAATCTCTGAACCATTCAAGGGTCCCAAGACCTTACGCTGGGTCTCGAAGCTCGGACTTTCCCCTAGTCTTTGTTCAGCGATCACAGACAGCTGAACCAGTTTCAATGAGTAGGTCCCCATCCGGGCTCGTTCAGGGATGTAAAAGCTGAATCTCACGGTCTATCAATGACGCCCAAGACTTGACATTCCTCCCTGATCTGTTGTTGAGAAAGTGAAGAGAACGGAGTCCTCGTTCAAGGAAAAAGCCTAGCGATTTATGCAATATCCTCTTCTTCCCCCCTCAGGGCCAAAACCCCGAAGACTCAGAGCTCGACATCACGGATGACGCAGCGCATCCGGAAGAAAACCCCTCTCCCTCCCTCGGAATCCGCATCTCTCAGCGGTATACTGAGAGCTGCGAATAAATCTTCGAAAGATAAAGTCGGGATCTCAGATCGGAGGAGTGAGGATAACATACTCAGTTACATCAAATGCATCATGTACACCTTCGGCGATGTCCAGGAACCGCTGGATACGACAGCGAAGGCTGTTTCGGACGGATTGTTCACACAGATGAAGCTTGTGTATCGGTGAGATTATTCGTATGTTCCTATCGAATTCGGGTTCGCGAGCCATGTCTCCACCATTATCTAGGGCTTCTACATTGATTCATCGATTTCATTTGCAGGATTGCCGCGGCGGCACAGGATCTTCGGAGAAAGAACAAAGAAGATTCGGTCATTGAAGTCATCGACGTGGTTTCAGCTTACAGTCACAACTTCCCCTTACTCTTCAGAGTCTACAAGTGAGTTATCGCTCCTGTCACTCGCGCTTGCTCACCGTGCCGGATCGGCGGACGGGAGTTCTCTATCATTGGGAACGACTTCATGGGAATACTCAAACTCGTTCCCTCTCCAGGAGACTTCTGAATAGATCGGAAGCGAGAAAAGCTACCAGGGACATCCTGCAAAGTGGCGTGGGCGATAAAGTTTTAGGTGAATTGAAGGACGCCCTGGAACAAGTCCACTCGGGCCACTCGGACGAGCTTTCCGATCCCGCCCTCGTCGATCCTCTTTATCAGGTAGATGATAATTATTAGGAGTAGTCCGATGCGTCGAGAATCGGAGTCCACTTATCATGTGCGAACGGATGCTCGTACTTACGGCACGAACGCTTCTCGCAGAATCGCCTCGTGAAAATGGACGAGAGGACGCGGGAAATGGATCAGAAGGAGTACCTCTCGTTCCACAAAGCTCGTTCGACTTCGTTCTCGTCATCGGCTCCGGCGAGGAGAATGTTCCTGGATTTGCTCACGAAGAATCGCTGCGCCTCGAATTTGAGTCCGTCAGCGATTGAGCTCTTGACGACGATCGCCTACGAGATCTCGGCGAGAATCTCGGAGGTTGCCGTCCAAATTCGCGCCGGACGCGAGAAGGTGAGGATGTGATCCAGAGTTTCGGTTCATGATCGATTCGAGCGATGACGTCGAGCTTGTTTCGCTCCCGCTAATATCACACTTCTCCTTCAGCCTTCCCCGAAATTTAGTAAGCCCAAATTTCGGAACCCGATTTTCTGCGAGGGGGGTCCCAATACGCAGGAGCTGATTCCGCAGATCTTGTTGAGACGATACAATCAGTACGGGTTGGACCCGGACGATATACGCCAGGCGGTACAGAAACTCATGGAAGAAACTTCATCTTCCGCATCACATCCGATAAAAGACATGAGGAATGTTCGGCTGTTCTAAAAAGTCATCCCCACGCTCAGTATGAGCAGACTCTAAGTGATCTCCTCCTCTGGTGCCCCTCTCTTTATCTCGAACGAGCTCCTGATCTCACAATCCACATGATATTCTTCGAAGCGGAGGGACGATCCGAAGAAAAGCGTAAATACCCGGAAACTTGTAAATACGGACCGCATTCCTCCAGAGGACGAATATTGTTGTTGCGGCCCTGAATACCTGACCGGGCAGGGAACGTGTAGCAATAAAGAGGAAGGAACCTTATGAAACCATAATTTTTCCCTTGTCTGATTTTATTCATCCCACATTGGTATGTACAGAACATCAATGCGACGGACGGATAAGTCCTCAACGAATGGGTGATCAATTGACAATACGGTGCGATCGCTCATCGCCAACGCACTACGGTTCCGTCCTGCGGTCTCCTGATCTTTACAGGATAGCGAAGTGCATACTTTATGGTGTCTTAATTATTTTTCCTTTCCGATTTCTTTCTCTCTCCCTATTTTCCTCTCTCATAAAAATACCATATCAGGTTCAAGCACCATAAGTTCAATTGACTAGAGATGTTCGGCCGACAAACGACGAGAGACGAGTCAGCCACGAGCCTGGGTTCGAATCCACCATCAAATCTGTCCAATATCTGCTCGCCAGCGAACTCCTCTAGGCTTGGCATCTCCTTGTTGCACACACACACAAGTGCAGATCATCACAGAAACTTCGGGCAGAAGATCCTCCGTCGAAGGAGCATCATCACCCATCTCGGGTGCTCGAGTCGATGGTGTAGGAGTTTCACGGATCACGATTCTTTCAATACAAGTGAGAGTCGAGTCACTCGCCATTATACACTACCACGGAGGAGGGGCTCCGATTGCACTACTGATCGAGCTTCCAGTCGAAAACCTCGGCGGTACCTCTCTCAATGTTCAAGACAGAAGGGAAGCGTTTCCCTCAATAAATAAGTCGAATCTGGTGCATCGGGAACTGAGTCACCACAATCAACTGACTCGTGGTTCGGCTCACCGGATGCTCAAGAATATACGTAAATAACATTCGAAAACCTCGGGGGTTGTCTATAAGTCATGTGTCAAGTCATGTGGACCTCAAAATGAGCGATAAGGAATCGCCCCTTATCCCTCCATGTTATGTGAAACGGAACTGAGAGAGCCTGCCTGATGGTCAACTCAGGCCAAGCGTCGGAAGCGTTGAGAGACGATGATTCCTAAATTTAATCCGTTTCAAACTCGGCGAGACAATCTCTCTCATATCGTCTTCAGATACTTGGATTATTTTTCTATTCTAGTGACTATGGCACCGGTAGGGTGATGGAGAAGGGAAGGTGTCGGGCACGTTGGAAGGCCCCAGTGGTCCGTCGAGTCGGGCAGAAGATTTTAAAGCTCAAAGGGCAGGCGTAGCAGAACTCGTGCAATGTCAATCAGAGATAAATACTGTCTGAGTGTCTGCCGCATCCCTCGGTCTAACCCAGACTTTGGGAAAGAGCTACGAAAGCAAAAGTGGTGGCCCGTTATCGACAGCAATACTATCATGTGGCGAGGTGAGATACAAGCTTTACAACAACAACATTCGACGCCAATGGTGAACGACAGAAGGTTTCGGGACTCTATTTGCTATTCTCGATTTCATCGATCAAGTTCATGACCTGAGTCTTGACGAGCTTTATAGCGTCAGAGGCCCGCGGTATGAACAGCACGTCGCTGCCGGTGATTTGGAATGTCTTTCCGCCGTCGTCGCTATCGGAGGGACAGTATCCATATTTGAACGTTATCAACTCAGGATGACTCTTCTTTGAGGTGATCTTGACGATTGAAACCAGAGGTCGGCGCGCTACAATGTGGGCGTAGTTCTTCTTCGAGGATAACTCGCGCAGAACAAATAAATGCGTCTTCGTCACGATTAAGTGACAGTTGGGGCAAAGGGTTTTCGAGCCGGGCTTCAGCTCTTCACACTCGTAGTAGGCCAGCACTTCGGGTTTGTTGCGCCACGTGTCAACACACACCTCCTCTTGTCCTACCGCAGGATCACCAATGTTCCCGTCATCTGCGAAAAAGGGGACGTGTCGATCAAGATGCTGCCGGGAACGATATTCTATAGAGGATTCGAGAGAGAGGGAGAAGATTTGAGAATCAGCAGGTCGATACTGGAGATCGGAAACCTGATGAGATCTGATCATGATCTGATTATTGTATCGTCGACGTATACCAGCTCAAATCATGTCATTCAAACAAGGAAGACTTCCGGCGGGGCGGGAGTGCGAAAGCGGGCGTATGGGTTTCTCGAGTCGGATTCAATCGACAATAATTCATGAAATGCTCACCAAAGAAGTCGTCATCGTCGATAGACGTCGCTGTGAACATCGAGTCAGCGGCTCGATAGCGTTTGCCCAGCTTATCTCCACTGGAAACATGTCTGTCTGGGTTGATGGGTCCACCGTTCGATGACGGACTGGTCTTCATCAGCCCCTGGAAAGGAACAGAATTCAGGATCATACAGGATATTATTTCATCTCGATTCTCTCTCGGAACGAAGGGACGAAATCCCCAATTCCAGGCCTGGACCAGGGGAGGCTAAGGGAGCCGGAGCACTGTCAGATGGCTCACCTTCAGGTCTTCTTTCCAGTCTTGAGCGGACGTTTTCAACTTGCCTAGGAGTCCGGAGTTACTCTTCAGCCTAGAAAAGAATGAAGTACTCTCCCGACACTCTTCCGAGTCGCTGGTGACTGTCGACGTGTTCTGTACGCAAACTATGCATTGCTGGGGATTATGGTCGATCAGGTGCTCCTCTAGCGACGATTCTTCGCTGATCAGGTCGTGGAGGGCGGCATAACCACCTTTGACAGCTGATATGTACGTGACTTGGTTTTTGAGGAATGAAGCGATCACCATGTTTACGTATTGGTCCTCTTCCTCTCGCCCACTGCCCATGAAACAAATGTGTTCGCCAGCAACACCCGCCTCAACCATGTGTTTCTGAGCGGCGAAGAGACCCTGAACGGCGACTGTGTAAGTTGCTGGCTCCGTCAGCATCTGCAAGCCAGAAAAAACAACAGAAAACATTATTATTATGAAAACTGCAGTCCCGCGCGGAAACGTCGAGCCCGTGGATCCCGATGGCCACAGACATCTGATATTCATTCCGCAATCGCCTAATAAGATCCAGAGTAGCGTTTGTCACTCACGAGGCTGGCGTCCAGATGGAAGGCCGTTCTCAGGTGTCCCGCATTGTATTGCTCTGCAGGACGGCAATCGACAACGAAGTACTTCACGAGGGACCGGTAGGGAAGTGTCATTCGTTGCGTTTCCGTCAGCAGCAGATCCGATGGAGGTATTGGCAAGCACAACACTTGAGCAAGACTCGCCGACGTCGTCTCGTCTTCCGTTGGAGTGTGCCTCGGCTCGGGACTCACGTTCGAATGCGACCGAATCCCGAATAGAGCATAACGGAATGTGGCGTATATCGACGGGGGCGTCTTGGTCGAGTAGAAGTGGGCCAGCTGGCAGAAATCCTCTACGTCATCTGCATTCAGGCCGCACGGTGCGCATGAAATCGACTCAATGATCTTCTCTCGCGAGTCGCCTTTGGAAGGCAGTATCTGATCCCTGGGAAGAATGAAACTATTAAAAATCGCGCTCTCTCGCACCGATCACCAGGTGTCTCGGAAGCTTCAGAATATTCTCGAGAAGAAAGTCGCAGTCGGCTCACCTCAAATTCACGAGGAGCACAAGAGCTAGGTAGAACGAGAGGAACGGATCGCATATTTGCAGGTACACGTCCCAGATTGCCTGAGTAACGGCCAAGTCACAGCATTCACTGAACACTGTCGCCAGCCACTTGTTGCAGTAGCGTTCCGGGAAGACTTTTTTACTCTCGAGAAACGAGCAGATCTCTGGGTCATGGTATTGGAGGAGCAATCGCATAAGATGGAACGCCGCACTTCCGAAAGGTGTGTCCCCGCTTTTGAAACAGCTCCTAGAATAGTGGTCACTTGTTAGTCCGTGGTCGATCCGAGTCTGCACTGTCAGGGTGTAGACGGAGGTTCCCGTCTGCCTCGCTACCGCTCTGTGTGTGGAAGGATTGGTCCCGTACGAGCTCGCCCGATCGCGGGAATGGTGAATAGACCGAGTGACTTATAGGAGTGGAGCAGCGAATGGACTCTCACTGTCAGCTACAAGGCAAAGTGAGAGCCCCCAACAACCTTCGTCGGCGCCATTCCCCCTTCCCGTAAGCAGCTCGTCGGGATAAATCGAGTTTTCGAGAATCATCACACCACCAGACTGAAGCCCAGGAAAGGAGCATTTGTGATTGCAAAGATGACCCGTGGTAAGATGGAGTGGAAGTTCATCCACCATTCAGTCAGGCTATCCTGCCGACGAGCTCGCAGTACTGCTTTTATATTGTGTTCGAAGGAGATAGAATCCGAATTCAGAGAATAGAAATCATCTCACCTTGGTACGAATCGATGTACCATATTGTGGAAAGCGGCGAAGAGATCTTCTTTGTTGAGCCGGAGTGCCACCAGCGGCTCCAGGATCGCCATCCATCCATTTTGGCTTTCGTATCGGAGCTGGCTTTGCTTCACGAAACGAGTGACGACTGATTCCAGGTCACACAATACAGACAATTTCTCGGCTCCTTCGTTCCCGAGTTTCTCTGTGGACGAATCATATCGAATCAGTCTCCGATTCAATGATCACATATCATATTTGGTCCGTACTTCACATCGAGGCTTCCGAAATCATATTTTCTCTCCGTGCTCTTCGGCATCCTTTTCTGAGACCGATGCTCCGAAAGTTCGCAGCATTTTCCGGAGATCGGCGTTCGATACTCGCGCCACCTTCCAGAATTCCTGAAGTGATTCGTGCGCGTTGTGCGAAAGAGCTCACTCAGTCATATGGTTTCAAAGGTCGATAGTAAAATCCCACGACCCCAAAAGATACACTGGCGACACGACCGCCCGAAGAACGTTGCCGAACATAATGATAAACAGCGTCCCGAAACGTGCGGCGACATCTACTATCGACAGAGCGGCGAGGCTTTCTGTCCCACGTGACGGTGCCGCCGTCGATGCCACCGCCTGTTCAACGTCGGCGTTCGCCGAGAATTCGGAAGGTCCCGCTTCTCAAATGAGCAAGGCCGAACGCCGAACAAGACCTACGAGCCAAACACCAGACTTTTTTCGATTCCGAAGTCCACTTCGCAACCGGTGACAATCCGATTGGGTATTTTAAAAATTAGGGATTGAGTTTTGACTCCTTTCTTTTTGTGGGAATCTCTACCCGTTCATACCGTGCTACGCCGGGAAGTGGATGAGGAATGCAAATCCATATTTCCCACAGAAACGAGTTTACGGAGTGTGGATTGTTTCGATTCGCAGACATCGGACCTAGGTGTGCGATATGAAATGCTCTCAGGAATCCCGATGAGGTCCAGAACCACTCGAATCGCGAAATAAAACACTCCGAACGGTCCCGAATTGTCGTATTCATGAGAAGAAAGCGCTTGATCCGATCCACGAATCCTACAATTGATCCATCGAGGGACCAAGCAGGCGACCTCCGGGCCGGACCGTGGATGCGGCCTTCGGCTCGTTTCATTACTCAGATTCTGTTTGATCAGTGGATTTTCTCCGGCATCGAATCAGCGAAGCCTGAGATGAGGCTTCTGTCTCCAAAAAAAAACGGCGTGCCTGGAGGGAGAAGCGGGGTTCCCATTGATTGCGGGTAGCTCACAAAGGAGCCACCCAAAGCTGGCTCGGGAAATTCAACGACAACTTCGAAACCAACTCCGCTCGTCAGGCAAGCCCCCGCGATCAAGAGTTCAAGAACTCAGGCCAGGTCCGGTCGGGAAGAGCGGTCTCTCACACAGCATCCGTCCTGGGAGCGACCCTGCTGCTAATAGCAAGTCGGAAAAGATTCATCAGGGACTCATCTCACAATCGCTGGTCCTATCGGGAGCTCCGTATTCAATCGAGACCCTTTTGAGATCTCGTTACTTTTCAAGACACTCTTTGCAATCAGCGCAGTACTTTGACGCTAAATCCGCCGAGCTCGTCATTCGATGGCAGCTGCGGATTCCAGGCCACGTTTCCAGTTGGCAATAAAGTTCTTTCACTCCCGTTAAAGTTACCACATCATGTGGATCATAATTGGCTGCGTTGCTTACGAGTGAGGTAAGCGATTTTGTGGCCAGGAGGCACCACGTAAGTTGTGAGCTGGACTTTCAGTGACCACCGAACAACTGCATAATTCCACGGCTGCGGTTGACCGTGAATGGGCGCGGTAATCCTCGTTCCTAACTGAATAGCGTCGTCGGATATCGATGAGCCCGTGAGAAATTCGCAATAGTCTTCAAGTCGTACTCGAAGCGTCGGGTCGGAACTCCATTGAATAGATCGATCGGAACGAAACTCCCTCGGAGCTTCTATCATTGCTAAATTATAAATAACTCACCGACGAGTTTCTGGCAATCTTGGCGAATCAGAGATTGTTCTTGGAGATCATACATTTCATCCCAGGGAGCCTCATGTTTACGAAAGTTGGCGACTCCGAGACTTATCTGCAAGAAAGATATAAATGATTTAGGACATGTCATAAATGATAATTCTCCATTCCTCTAACATTTGGCGCATTTTGGAGCTGAACAACGGAGCCAGCTAACAAGACATGCGTCTGAGAGCGGTCGCGTCTGATGTACGTATTCCTGAATTCGTAATCCTGGAGTTGGGATCTTCCATTCTCCAGAGATCGAGGACTCTACTCCCTCGACAATCCAGGCTCCAGCATCGCCAGGAAAATATCCGCAGAGAAGATATTGCGCGCGACGCGAGCGACGTCGAGATGTTCTCCCTGGACTGTCAGACATCGTCACGTGCTCACCTCTGCGTCGTCATCAGAGGACGGTGTCTGAGAACACCAACAGAGCACTCGATAGCAGCGTGTGAACGATGCAGCTGCCGATTATTTGACCGACGACTTCCCCTTTAGTAGCCTTTCGGATAAAGTTGCCCACCACAAAACTGCGGGACACCCATACGTCAGATAAAGGTAGCCTCTACCGGAACAGATGCGCGGAACGTCAATGGCGACGACGTCACCATGTAACGCGATGAGTTTTTACAAGCGTTCTAGTATGGAGAACTCTATTCGGTTCCGAATTCCGATTCCCTTCTCGGAACACGGAATTTCGGAGAGATCTCCGGAGGTTTTTGTGGCCGCCGCGAAGTGGAGCCGATAAGACACACGGTTACTTATGATACCGAGCCCAGTCGAAAACCGGTCATCGAAGCCTAACCTGAGTGTTTTCCAGAAATTCGAATGATGGAATGCTCGGAAAATTGCTTCCCAGAAGATTTCGTGGTTGCACGATTTTTAAACCAAGAATCCCGGTACAATCCCGAACGTATCCCCGATAACGTTGAGGTATTTCATGAGGGGAGGATCATGGTTCTCCTTTGACTTCTCGACTGAATGAATGCGATGGAGGACACCCGATCCACCATAAGCTCGAGGTTCTTCCAGGTAATCGATACCAACGCGATCTCATGTTGTTGATCAGCTTCCAATCCCGTCGCGGATCAGAGGTCGAAAACTCCGTCTCAATATTGATTTTTTTCTCTTTTTCAGCATTGCGTCGCCGAACAGAGACGACCGTGTCCTCTGAAAGTTCGGAATTTACCGCCCGGAAGCATTGAACTCACCTTCCAGACCTGAGGCCGCAGGTGTTCCGGTAGGATCTTGAGCTTACAGATTTGTCGTAGTCTCCGCTGGTCAAGGAGACCTTCATCCTCTAGAGCACTCTCCAACTCCAAGATCCTGCAGAAGATCAGGTTGTTATCAGAAATAACCGAATACGCGTCCGGATCTAGGTAGACTTCTTTGGGCAGCTTCATCGGCGCAGGGTTCTGAAGTTTGCGGAAAGACACCGGTCCGCGTGACTTTCACAAAGTTTCTCCAACACTACGAGTCAACTATCACAAACAAGAGGAACTGGTGAAAATGAGAGTCTCATCCACTCGGAGAAGGCAGAACACAATGAAATATTTGACGTACAACGGTTGTCGTCGTCGCTGTCGCGCCGTCGTTACAACCACTGCCGCTGCGCTTCGCCGCCGAGAGAGAGAGAGTTCTGCGACCAGCCAGCGTTCTCGCATTGCATAAGCTGAGAGGGTGTGCCGACAAGGTCGCAGTCCTAGTAGACATCGTCGCCGATGCCGTTGCTGCGCGATTCTAGAGTGGAGGACTCGACGAGACCGTCCTTGATCGGCATATCGAGATCACGAACTCCAATTCCATTTTGTTTGCTCAAGCTTCTGTATCTGACTCATCGTTCCGCCAGAAATTCCATGACCCCCCTTCTGTCTCTGATACAGGAACTCTCATTGATCCCGGACCTGGCAGGTGAGCTGAAATCATTATCTTGGCTTCGAATCTCTGTTCCGATCTCGTGATTCCTAGAGCCGGATCCGCACGCGTTATCTCGCTTCAGCATAATTTTCAGCTCTCTGGCAGCGCTCGACGGGACTAATTTAAACTTCGCCCCTGCAGGAGAGACTCGGTCTCGCCGGATATCAGGTAGGTTTGAGCAATAATTTTTCTATAGAATCGACAGATCATCAGTCTTATAATCAACCTCGAATTTAGCGCTTCCCGGAAGAGCTTCGACCATCAATCAGAGAGAGTCCGGGAAGAAAAGGAGAAAACATTCATTCAGTGAAGCGCGTCCGTGATCAGGGATCGTACACGCTGTTGTGTTTGGTGTCCGTTTCCGCGTTCTCTATCAGAAGCTTCTCTTCTGCTCGCCCAAACGTATCCCGCGCACGCAACGCAATTGGGATCTGTCGAAGCTAAGCATCCAGGTTCCGGTGGTGACTCGTGACACGCCGTCCGCATACGTTTCGGATGATGAGTTCGATGCACGAAAATTTGAAATTGTGGAGACTTCGCCTCGCTGAAGAGGGGGCCTCAACGGGATCCGACGCGCCTATCGGAGAGTTTCTGGAAGGTTCCTCGGGACCTTGTATACAGTCTCCCGCAGGTCCTGCTAGAATCTCAGAGCCCTGTATCTGAAGCAGAAAATTTATCACGCCATTCTGGATTCCAGACCCATACAGATCCTTTGCTCTTGACCGGATCTCGCGGGAGTTTTGTCACGATATATATATAGGGACCTCACATTCATCTAAAGGGAGGATCTTGGGTATAGGAATCTTTGAGCTGGACATAGCAGGCGGGACGAATGCCTTCTCGGAATCGAGGTCTTGAATTACCGCGATAGATCCATGCCGACAGCTCCAACCCAGGGTAACAACAGGGGAGAGAAAATCTCGCAAAGAGAGCACGGAGACTTTTTGAAATACCCCCGCCGCTAGCATCCTTCGGTTGCGAGTGGGAAATTTGAGACCGCGAGGACTGATGATCCAAAGATATCCTGAACTCATTCCGCATTCCGCCCAAGCTGACGACATGAAAATGATTCACCGTCCCATAGGCTTGGGCGCGCAACACCCATGGAGCACTCAGCAGCAGCTCACAGAACCATTCCGTCATCCGGCGGAGGGGTGTCAAGAAAATATGATCATGACATCATGACTTTCCAGCCGTAATTAAGAGCGGCGCTTGGGCCGCTTATGGAGAAGGGGCTATGGGCGGCCTCCCCGGGAGGCACTCTCCTGGAGGTTCCCAAGAGCAGCATCTTGGGGTTCTGCATTCTTGGAGTAAAAGAGGAGTTTTCGTTAACTTCACTCGAATACCCGGTTTTCGGATCGCCGCCTCGATAGGTGCTCCCACATGCTGCGCCTCAAGCGTCTTCATCAGCGACAGCTAGTGAGTTGACGCTGCCCTTAGACGAAAGAACAAGCATTCCTTGTCAGAATATGAGCGCGGAGCTCACAATCATCCTGTACAAAGCAGCGCGTCCCGCGCAGTTCATAGGGCGAGCTATCACTTCTGATGAATTTACGAAGGCACTTGCGTCACAAATTACAGTCCACGGACGTCTACGTTCCGAAGATTGTAGCGCAGCAAATCATTTGACTCTTCTACTGTCGGAGACATTTTCGGCCGACGCAACGGCTTCTTCGAAACGTAAATTCATCGAGCAACGCAGATTTTTGGAAAGATCTCCCCGAAAAGAAACTACTAAGTGGGGCTTCCGGAAGTGCCATGGATCCATCCACATCCAAGGAGGCGTCGCGCAAGGCTTATTCACCAACGATGAAGTCTTATCAAGCGGCGCTCTCTTGGAGTCCTACCAAACTCAAGATACTGCCGAAGACCTGCCGAATCAGATCGATGCAGAGAACGATTCTGCGCATAGATGGATGCTTTCTCAATCGCCGTCGCGAGGTTGAACAACTTGTAAATGCGATACCATCTTCAGTGAAAATTCATGGTTTCGCTTTCGCAAACCAAGAGCGCTCGTACAGGCGGCAAGATCGTAGGATATCGGCATTCGAAACAAGGATACGGCCTTGAATAAATCGAAAGTATGTTCCGAGTCAGACCTCGTGGACTTATACTTGAGCCCCCGGAGGTGCTTCAGGGCTCGCCCCATCGAGATTTACTTGATCGGGAGGAATCCGATCCCGAGCGCTGCTTCGGGACGTAATCGAAGCTCTCTATGAAACTTTGTCCCGGATTCCGTCCAACGGCAGGCCACCGAAAAATCCGGAACAACGAGAAACAACCATCGAGCGAGGATCGAGCCTCCAAAATCGCGAATCATGGATGCTCGCTCCGCTCGATTCTCTTCTGAGTGTTGCGAAAGTAAGTCTATTAGAATTATTCCGTCTTCTTGTACTCCTCCGGGGAACGATGAAGAGCGAGAAAGCACGATTTGCGCATCTGACTAACTGAATAAGAATTTCGGACCTGAATCATCTAGGAACTCCTCGAAAGTCAATGAACTCGATCTCGATACGGGCCCCTGGAATATCTACTCGGATAGTTCTCTCTCGGATATAAGGGTCGAGGCCGCACCTCGGGAATTTATCTCTCATTTCCTAATTTGGATTCCCAAGAAAAACCCGTCGGTGTGAAGAACAAGACCCCTTTGAAGGACAGCTGTCTCCGGTCTCTCACGATCGTCTGACAATTTTCTGCGGGATAAATTCTGAGACATTTCTGGCTTCAGTCGACCGGAGATTCGTGATAGATGACAGCAGTGAGAACCCCGCCTGCGTATTCCGAGGCAGCCACCAACATGACGGCTCCCCGCATCGAAATATGAAATTTTCGGATCATATTTGATTCTGTGTAGACGAGATTGGATCGATCGACAGCATGGAGCGGATCACATAACTCTATGTTTAAGAACCGTCAGGCATATTGAGGGATCATGGTGCGGCGCTGTTAGTTGATGGGTGAAGATACCGAGGGAATCGAGCTGATAAAAGGAGCCCAGCCTCCGGAGACTTGCATCCTCCCTAGTTCCACGGCCTCGGAAAGATTTTCGGAGGAAGGGGAGACAAGCATTCCGGCCCTGACTCCCCGGCAATCGCACAGCCACGGCTAGCCTCAAGGGTTGGGGAGATGATGCCCATTTCGACCTGAATATACCCCTTAATTCGAACGAGGAGTCCGAGGGGTCTGGCTTGAGCATTCATCCGGGAACTCCGACTCAAACGGAAATCCTGGCTTCATTGAGATGTTGAGACACCATAGGGTGGATCCCATCAGTCGCACTTCCTGGCCATCGATTTAGGTAAGCGGGAACGCCTCCGATCTTCCCGGTAGGCTCAAGCAGTTTCCGGAGAGAGTCCTTCGAGAACTTTGAATCTTGAACTTGTCAAAGTTTCTGGTGGACAGCTTGACGTACAGTCCATCAGAACTCACCCCTGGCCACCGGCGGGCTCGACGATGGAGGAAGGTTTGTCTGTATTTCGATCTTTTGAATCGCAATAATTTTGAGGATTCATACTCGTGACGGTTTCTGCTAATCCCCGTGGCCTGGCGAGAGACAATAGTCGCCGGTGGAATCGAGAATAATCACAGTATACATTGCGCTTCGCACTCAAAGCCGTTTCTCCGAGCATACGGTCAGATTGACCCGTCATAGTCTAGCATTACACCTTTGTTCCGAGGTTAACGATTCTCTTCAGCGGGGATACGTAATGTTCCGAAAAAAATACGAGGTCGTCGGCAAGTAATCGACCGGGCCTGAGCGAGGTAATCCGTTCAAAGTATCGATGGAACAGCACTTATTTCAGCCTTCTTCCCGTAAAATGTGAGTTTCGAGCGGCATTCTGCATGTCGCCTGACTGAGATGATATCGGGTAATCATGAAATGGATGGCGCGCCGCCTGAAATTCGGGCTCACAGCGAAAACAGATGGCACCTATAACCTGCGTGAGATCCGCACACCAGGAGTCAGCAGTAGCTTTAATCGCCACCGTCTACTGATGTCCACCCGAAGCGACACAAGTGACCGTCGGGCTCCTCTCACCATCTTTCCAGCGAGAGTAGCCTGAGAATGCCGGACTTGCGATGATGCCGAAGAATATCCTCCGAGGAATACTGGATTGATCTTAATATATGTTGGAAAAGACTGCAAAACTCGGGACGATATAAAAATCAACAGCAATATATCCGAATGTGCCATTCTAGGCCTGGGTCCCGGGTCCCGCTCAGAAGATTTTGAAGGCTGACCGGTGCGAAAGCGGTCACAGTCTTCGGCAAGACTCCAGCCTTGAGGATACCGCATAGCCCGAACATTCTGCGGATGGTTCCCGATTGAATTTCGACTGAAGTCCGATCCCGCGGAAAACCAGACGACTCCATCGTGTCCTGATCCGTCCTCTTGGCCGCAATCACGAATTTCCATATTTTGCCATGAAGTGCCCACGTCTTCTCGGTTCCCGAGTAGCAAGCAAAACGTACAACCGAGAGGCAT